TAGGGGAGGGGGTCTCTAGGAGAGAGGAATAGGTTGCTACATGCCTTGCAGCTTTCTTTGTTAACCTTGAGCAAGTGTAGGGAAGGGGCTTATCTACAAGGCAGGTGTTCTGTGTATCTCTGGTCAGTAGCTGACTGCTTTCTCTGTGAACCGGTTTACTCCCCATTTCCCAAGGCCGTCTCTGGAACGGTTTGTCTCAGGAGCCCCATTTTTTTTATGGTGGCTCTTGGCTCCTTTCATTCCCCCATTTTCTCTTTGAACTAATTTTAATCCTAAATTGTGTGCCGTTAATGAGGGGTTTCAATACGGTCACTGGTGGCCAGGGCTTGATACTGTTGCATGAGGACTAATGCCAATGATCAGCAAGCCAGGCCTTAGCATGTGGGCCCATGGCCAGCCATGGGTCTCTACATTTTTTTTTTTATTAAATTGAGAATGGCCTCTGTCTTAGGTTGCCCTCAGTCATCTCTGTCCTTACCCGTCATCGGTAACTCTGGCAGCTTGGCCTAGAGCCCTGTCTTAGGTTGGTACAGGATGCTGAGCGTCTTACCCGTCTTTGAGTACCATTCCAGCCCAACATTAGGTGAGAGATGAAACATACAGCCAAATATCAATTATTTTGATTACAAAGGAGGCTTGGTACGAAGTTTTAAATGATGAATCTCAGTCCATTCATACTATAGGGAAGTCAGCATAAAATGCAGAACACACGGAAGACATCCCATACAAAGTGGGAAAAGCAGTAGCAGTCCAGCCAACATTAATAACCAATGAATCCATTGAAACCCTTCAAATGAATAGTGGGTTAGTAATAAACATATGTTGCATTTTACTCTTAAGTTTATCAATAACAGACTCTATATATGGCACATTGTTAGTAATGTTAAAGCAATATCCCCCAGGTACAGGTTTACAACTTAAATGATCTTTTTAACAGCAAGTAATTGTTAGCTGCATGGCTTAAAAGCACTCCTGAGTGAACTTGATCCAATTCTTTGGCTATATTGGATAGCACAGTAGCAGTAAGATTGATCGCTTTGGTCACCAAACATGTAAGCCTTTATAGTCCACGATTATTTCCAAAAGCCAGTCCAGGAACACTTACTACTGATGCAGCCATGGTAAGGGCAGTGTCCTCTCCTATTAGGATGATTGTTATTGTAGTCTTCAGGTAAAGCACGCCACTGACGTGCTCTATCCGCTGCTGTAAATACAGATGTTAGCATCAGGGCCACACGGCCCAGGGAGCAATTGCAGAAAGGCATGTTGGTTACATGGAAAAACCCATCCCTTAGGAGCCCTTGTCCCATACCAGTACTGGATCAGGTCCATTCCATTGATTGGTGATAGGATCCCTCCATTTCACCACTGCTCTTTTTACAGCTGTTTTTAAGCAGTTAGGATTTAACAGAGACATCAAGAGAACATAATAGATTACTTTAACTCATTGCTTTAACAGAGGATCAGATTTTGATTTTATGTCAAAGAAAATAACCAAAGATTTCTTCTTCCCATAATATTTTGCGACTTTCTCACACCTTCTGTAACTTGCTCAAACCTTTCTCTTCTCCCCCCCCCCTTTCTTTTCATTCCAGTATAAACCAGCCATTAAGATAAACAATTTTTACAAACCATGTCCTTCTTTTATTTAAAAATATCTTTTCCTTTTAACTTTCCTTATCAAGAACACGCTTTTATGTTTGTGACCTTTTACATTAAAATGATGGTATCTGGGACTGTAGCAGTCAATGGGAGAGTAACTTTGTTTAATTCCCTGTAATCCACAGTCATTTTTCAGGTTTTATTTGATTTCTTAACATGCCAAATTAGATAATTCCTTTTAGTGATTATGGGAATCATCACTCCAGCACTAAGATAATTTTTTACTGTTTTAGATATTTCCTCATGTCCACCTGGAATTTTGTATTGTTTACATTGAATAACCTTAGTTATTACAGAGGCTTGATATAATTTTTTTTTTACCACTACCTAGCAGTTTGACTCCAAAGGACAGCATTTTTTTTTCTCAATTTATATTTATCTTATACTGTTTTTTCCAATTGCTTACACATGCATCAGTATGCAGATAACAAAATCCATTCTCACCTCCCCAAAGCCTATAGTTTATCCCCCTTTTCCACCGGCACTGATAGCAAAACCTCAATAACTTGTGCAGGCTGTGCACTCTGTAACTTGCCATCCCAATTCTCACTCGATTCTGAGCAGAGAGCCCATTCCTTCACCAAAGAGGCGAACTGAAGGTCTTTCCAGCCAGGAACATCACAGGTTACACATGCAACTTCAGTTTTTCTTTTAAAGAAAGGCATTGCTTTGCATACTTGCAGATCCTGCCAACTACGCCAATTTGTGACAGTAAATTACTTTTTAGCTGTCTGCTGTGCACAGACTTAGTTACTTTTAATCTGCAAGAAATACGCTGCAAGCCTTGTAGTGCACACTAAAATTATTTACAGGAAAGATGGTAAAGGAGCATAGATTAACAGAATGTTGCAATAAACATGGCTCCATTGCTTTAATGATATTATAGCAAGATGGTCCACTGATCCCTGTAGGGAGGGCCTGAGGCTGGCCCCGCTTCCAGTTTCCTGAACTCTGTTTTTTAATGAATTACCTTTTTTATCAGTTTTGGAGTGACACTTATTGGCCCAATGCCTTTCCCTTTAGCACTGGAAGCAAATCCCAGGAAGAGCCTTATTTTGATTTTTGACTTCTGGACAATTTTTGTACATGTCCCTGTTGCCCACATTTATAGCACCCTCATTTATCAGGCATAGCCCTCCTTGATGATTTTTGTAATGACATACCAAGCAGAGCGTCAGGTCCTGAATGTCCTGTTATTAATTCATTTTGTTAATTTCTCATTAAAGGGACTGTCACAGAACACCTCAATCACAGTAGCCAATTGATCATGCCCACGTTGTACTTATGTTTTGTAGAATTTACAGTACTGTGGGCATCACTAGGCAATCTTCACACAGCTCCGGAGAAGGATCCATACTGAGAATTAAACATTATTAGTAATCATCACGGGCACATTTAACATTCAGCTTGACTGCGTGTTCCCCCCGAATGAAACAGCAGCAACAGAGGCTTGCTCCGGCTCCCCCCTAAAGCCTCCAAGGACAAGGGTGGCTCATTGCCAAGATTTTAGGCAAGCAGTGCGTTCCCATCTCGGGTCTTGGCCAGAGAGCCGAGACATGAAGCATGCCCACCTGTTTATCAGAAAACATTCCTTTATCCTCCTCCCCGGGAACTGGCCAGGCTCCCAAGGAGCAGGAGAAGGTCATTCGGCAGCAAAGTTTCTTGGTTACCAGAGCCAAATCTAGGTACAAGCCTCTCCAGCCCAAAAATTTGTTCTTACATTTGGCCCTAGAGTTGCATTGAGAGGTAGACATAATTAACATATCATAAGAATACAATACACATTTTTCATACAAGTATACATCTAGCAATCAAACACAACAATAAAAACAGATGGGGGAGACAGTAAGAGATAAAGGACAACAAAAACAGTGACACACAGAACACAAATCACAAGCCGCGCGGCAACAGACCGAGACAAAACCGAAACTATCAGAAGGGAGCGGCAGTCTAGCCAGGCTCTCCCCTGGAAGAAAGGAAATTCCCTCTTTCCCTCCTTCCCAGACCACCACCGGAGCGTTCTCCAGGGTTGAACCAGGGGTCTCAGGACACGTCTGAAATCACAAGCCGCGCAGCAACAGACCGAGACAAAACCAAAACCAGAATTTCAGAAGGGAGCGGCCGTTTGGCCAGGCTCTCCCTTTGAAGAAGGGAAACGCTCTTTCCCTCCTTCCCAGACCACCACTGGAGCGTCCTCCAGGGTTGGACCAGGGGCCTCACGACACGTCTGTCTTCCCCTTTGGTCCAGTCAGTACTGAGCCTGTACAGGCGCCCCAGGACGGATTCCACGTCGTCCTGGCAGACAAGGACAAACAGTACAAACCACAGTTACAATGATACACAAGTAAGCAAACTTACCTCCGTCTGGCCGATGGAGTGTGGGAGTCTGGGGTCCCCCAAATCCCGGACGAGCCCCCAGATGTAGGACCCCAAAAGCGGTGTCCTCTTGTGACGACCCCAGAAACACAGACTCCGGACCAGACGATGCAATAGAACAGGAGGTAACTTTATTTCATTTGTACAAATGGGCCCTCTACTGCTGCAAGCAGCAAGCAAGCGAGAGGAGCCCCGAGCAGCTATCTCACACAGCTTTTAAAGGGCAAAACCACAAAATTAACATATTATAGGCTGGCGTAAGTTCATTGGATAATTTTCAGTAGCGGGCCTTGTATGGCAGTCTGAAGTGGTAATGTCGGTGGAAAAGTACTAGGTCAAAGGGATACATTAGGGGAGGGGGTCTCTAGGAGAGAGGAATAGGTTGCTACATGCCTTGCAGCTTTCTTTGTTAACCTTGAGCAAGTGTAGGGAAGGGGCTTATCTACAAGGCAGGTGTTCTGTGTATCTCTGGTCAGTAGCTGACTGCTTTCTCTGTGAACCGGTTTACTCCCCATTTCCCAAGGCCGTCTCTGGAACGGTTTGTCTCAGGAGCCCCATTTTTTTTTATGGTGGCTCTTGGCTCCTTTCATTTTCTCTTAACTAGTTGTAGAATAGTTTGTTGTTGTTTCTATAGGTCATTGAGATGCATTGATAGCTCATTTATTTGGTGTTTTTCTAATTTCTTGATGTAGGCACCAATTACTGTAAACTTTCCTCTTAACACTGCTTTTTATGTGTCGCATAAATTTTGACATGTTGTATTGTCATCTTCATTTCCATTGTTCGATTTCTTCAGTGACCTACTGTTCATTCAATAATATGTTGTACAGCCTCCTTGTGTTTACATATATTTTACAGATTCTTGAGATATTGATTTCTAGTTTCATTCCATCATGGTCCAAGAAAATCATGGTATGTTTGAATTTTTTTAATTTATTGAGAGTTGCTTTGTGGCCTAGCATATGGTCTATCCTAGAGAATGTTCCTGTGCATTGGTGAGAAGACTGTGTATTCTGAATCTGTGGGAAGAAAAATTCAGTAGATATCCATTAGGTTATTTTTAGTCTATATGTCATTTAACTGTTGTTTCCTTGCTGATTTTCTGTCTGATTGTTCTGCACATTGCTGAAAATGGAGTATTGAAGTCCTCCATTATGATTATATGGGCGTCTCTGTCTCCTTTTGGATCCATTAACATTTCTTTTAAATAGCAAGGTACCCTGTAATTAGGTAAATATACATTTTTTGAAAGGCAGAGTTACAGAGAGGCAGATGCAGAGAGAAAGAGAGAGAGAGACAGACGTATTTTATCCACTTGTCTACTCCCCAGATGGCCACAATGGTTGGAGCTGAGCCAATCTGAAGCCAGGAGCCAGGAGATTTCTCCCAGTCTCCCATGTGATTGCAGGGGTGCAAGGACTTGGCCCATTATCCACTGCTTCCCAGGCCATAGCAGAGAGATGGATCAGAAATGGAGCAGCCAGGACTCGAGGTGGCCCCCATATGGGATGTTGGCACCACAGGCAGCAGCCATAACTGCTCCTCCACAACACTGGATTATATGTACTCATATCTTCCCTGTTGGAATGACCCCTTAATCATTGCTCAGTGGAGTAAGAATTATAAGTGTTTCTTTAAAAAAAATTTATTTATTTGAAAGCCAGAGTTACACAGAGACTTGAGAGGCAGAGAGGCAGACAGAGAGAGAGAGAGAGAGAGAGAGAGAGAGGTGTCGCATCTGCTGGTTCGCCCCCCGGTTGACCCCAATGGCCAGAGCTATGCCGATTCAAAATCAGGAACCAGGAGCTTCTTCTGGGTCTCCCACATGGGTGCAGGGCCCCTAGCACTTGGGCCATCTTCTACTGCCTTCCCAGGCCGTAGTAGAGAGCCGGATTGGAAGTGGAGAAGCTTGGACTCAAACCAGCGCCCTTATGGGATTTCGGCTTTCCAGGCAGTTGCTTTACACACGATACCACAGTGCTGGCCCCTGTCAGTGTCTCTGAGACATTTCTTTGAAGAACAATTTCAAGTGTAAGATTTCTGTAAGTAATACCTGGCATTGAAATAGATGTAATCATGTTTGCACACAGTGAATGTTTAAAGATTCAAAAACAGCACAGCAATGTTCTCTATAGCAGCATTCAAATAGAGTTCATTGCAGTTTAAATAAAACCCAGAGAGGTGCAGGTGTCTGGGGCAGGTCTCGAGACCCTACTTGAGAAGCACACATGGACAGACTGCCCAAGTGCCTGGGTTCCAGTCCTGGCACTGCTTTCAATCTCACGTTCCTACTCACACGCAGTGTAAGAGGAAGCAGGTGAACACCCAAGTCCTTGGTTCCCTGACACCCAGCATGAGAGACCCAGATGCAGATCCAGGCTTCAGGCTTGGTCACCCCAAGTCTGCTGTCTTCCCAGAGAGGAAAGAGCACATGCAGTGGACTAGAGACCCAAGATCTGTGATAAACAAGGCTGTTCAATGTGTGCAGAGGGAAGGTGGGCAGGGGGCAGGTGAACAAAGGTCTCCAATATGAGGGGAGGAGCTGAGTCCTGCCCTGAAGGGGACAGAGCCAGGCATGGCTTTGAAGGACAGCAACAGTGGGAGTCCACACTTCGTGTTGCTGTGAAATAAAACCCACACTGTGGAACAGATGGGGGCACCCAGCCTGCCACCCCATCCCTGGCCTGCTTCTTGCTTCCCTAGCCCTGCCCTCAGGGAGAAGGACAGTCTCACCTGGATGGGGAGGAACCAGGATCATGATAGGTGGGCTGTGAGCCTTGTAGTACACTGAAGAGGAAAGTCTTCCCCGCTGCCTCTCTTGGGAATCCACAGTCTTGTGGCCCTGGAACCTGCCTTGGCAAAGGCCCCTTCCTACAGACACCAGCCCCTCCGAGCTGCTGTGCTTTACCATCGCTCTCAACTCTGGAGCCCAGGGTCCAGGGAAGCTGAAGTTGGGACGTGGCAAAGCCTCTCGGGACTTCTCCAGGCCACAGATCACAGGAAGGGAAGATGACTCCCAACAGGGCCTGCTTCTTGGGACCTTGGCACTGTGTTGTGAACTTGGGGCAGATGCAAACACACCAGCAGGACCTCGTTCCCATTGCATCTCTGACAATGCTAGCCAGCTCATGTACATGCAGGATGCTCACAGAGAGTGTGTGTCTGCCCTGCACGTGGCCCACAGCCTTATCCATTGGCATCACCATGAAGAATTTGTCACTCCTGGGGATGACTTTGAGATTTCTCTGGAGTCACTTTTCCCTGTAACTTAACCGAGGCCTCCAAGAATGGCCTGCTCACCCGCATAATCTGGAGCACAGTGCAGCTCCAATTCTGTCCAGGGAGGAGGCCGAACAGCAAATACACTGTGATCTGTATGGGGGAGCATCGATCTTACCTTCAAATCTGAAACAAATGATCATTAGCTAAGAAACCTCTCCCATCCCCCAGAAACATGGAGGAGAAGAGGAACAAGGGTGTGGAGTGCTCTGTTCACAGCTTCCCTGGGTGGAGCCCAAGAGGCCCTCTCCTCCCCAGGTAGCCCCCAGCTCTCCTTTCACCTCTGTCCTGTTTGCATATGCAGCTTTGGAAGACCAGGCTGGGGACAGATGACCCAGTGTCCGGAACACTTGCAGAGAACCGCTGCTACATGGCCACCTCTGTTCTCTGCTGAACCCAGGCCACAGTTGAAGTCCCTGCCCAGCTTCCACCTGCAGCTGCCTGAGTCCACACCTGGCCAGTCCCATACACTGTGATGTCAGAGTCCTTTGCCCTTGCGGTAGGGTCTTGTTCTCCATTGGCAGTGCAGGTGGACATTGCCTATGGACACAGCTCTGCCTTAATGCACATCCACGAACCCTTCCTGTGGAGGAGCAGCTATGCACGTTTGGGCCTCTCCTTCCCTCCCTCTACCCCATCCCTCGTCACAAGCCTCACCATGCTCTCCTCCCTCACCTCCACCTCCCCCAAACTCCCACACCCCAGACCCTCCCTCCTACTCCCACCACCCACACCCAATCCCCCACCCACCAATAACCACCATCAACCTCCCCTCCAGCCAGCTTCTGGGAGCCATCCCTCTCTTCTCAGGTCCAAGAGGTCAGCCTTTGTGTTAACCCAGAGCAACGAGAGGGGACCGTACTTGTCCAGGGGAGATCCATCTGGTAGTCAACTCCATCCAACCACGCCAAGGTGCACACAGGGACCCAACACAATAGCACGGATAGCACGGGACCCAACACGATAGCACGGATAAAGTTTAGATTTTTTTATTGATGAGAAGCACAGAAAGTCTCAAGCAAATGAGGGCCCTCAGGCAGCTCAGCTTGCACACTGAGGCAGGCTACCTGGGGGCCACCTTTCGGCTGCGGGGGCCAGGGCCTCTGGCTGGGGCCGGCAGGCAGCAGGCACGCAGGAGGAATCTGAGGATGCTCCTGCCAATCCTCCTGCCCAGCCCCTGCCGGCCCTTGCTCGGGACAGAGGCCGATGCTGAGGTCCCAGCCTCCTCAGGCTCAGCTGCTGGGACCTCTGGCACCACCAGGTGCGGACTGCTCCTGGGGCTGGGGGTGGAAGGGATGACCACAGGGACGGGCTCGGGCGCTGGGCTGGCACCAGAGCTCCTCTCCTGCAGCTGTCCAGGGAGGGAAACGGCCAGCACGGGGGCGCACACTGCAGAATCTGGCTTAGGTTCCGGCTTGGGCATGGGCTCCGGCTCCAGCACCAACTCTGAATCCGACTCCGCCTCGGACTCGGACTCCAGCTCAGGCTCGGGTTCCCTGTGTCCCTGAGGAGAGAGAGGAAGACGGGTGAGGAAGACAGGTGCACTCTGGACCTCCCTCATGCCCACAAAACCATGAAGCTGTGCGGGGAGACCACGGCCAGACCCACGCTCTGCCAACAGGGCTGTACCTGCTCCAGGCTCCGGGAGTCCGGCTGCAGGGACATCCGGCTGGATCCTCCAGGACCAGATGGCACCGAGGCTCCAGCGTCCGGAAGCAGACCCAGGCCCGCCAGGTACTCCTGGGCCTCTGGGTCCTCGGGAACCCCCAGGGGCTGCACCACGATCACCTCCTCGCCCTCAGCTTCCTCTCGTAAGGGGTCAAACCACCATTGCTGGCGGGCAGATTCCGCTGTAGGCCTGTCGCAGGGGTCTGGGCTGAGGAGTGAGCTCAGGAGCTCCTCCAGGGCTGGGCTGGCCGCACACGGGAGCTTGTAGCTCCCCCTCTGGATGCAGTCCCGCAGCTCTGCCAAGTCCTTCCCGCTGAAGGGCATGGCCCCTGCCAGCATGGCAAAGAGGATGACTCCCAGGCTCCAAAGGTCTGCTGCGAATGGATCATACGGCTCCTGCCGGAACACCTCGGGGGCGCTGTACTCCGGGGTCCCGCGGAAGCCCTGCACCAGCTCGCCCTCGGGCAGATGGCAGCTGAGCCCAAAGTCCGCCAGCTTCACGTTGAGCTGAGAGTCCAGCAGCAGGTTCCCCAGCTTGAGGTCCCTGTGCGCCACCCACTGTGCATGGCAGTGGCCCACGGCTGCCAGGATTTGGTCAAACATGACCATGACCTTGGGCTCTGGCAGGCCGCCCCGGCTCATCACGTGCTGGTAGAGGTCGCCCCCGTCCACCAGCTCCATCACCAGGCAGTGGTAATGGCCGACGCGACCCACCTCCAGCAGCTGCACGATATTCTGGTGCCTCAGGAGCTGCATGATGTTGGCCTCTTGCGTCACTCGCCTGGTGCCGAAGGGGTCGCCAGCATGTAAATGAAAGAACTTCACAGCCACCTGCCGCTGGCTGGAAGCCTGGCGGGCCAGCACCACCATGCCGAAGCTGCCCCAGCCCAGGGCCGACAGCAACTGGAGCCCAACCTGTGAGCTGTCAATGGCATCCAGGTCCTCACGGCCTTCCAGGTTGGTGTCCCTAACTACACTCTCTGCTCTGCTCTGGCTAATATTCCTGTCCATAGACGCTAACTAAGGAGCTACCCTAACTACAATAACTAAGAAAATAAAGGGACAACAAGGGGACTACCTGCTGATCTGACTATAGTGGCACACTAGCTATACTAACTACACTAATCAAACACAGTGGCAAGACTAAGTCCTATCTAACCAAAACAGAAAACAAAAACCAGAAAAACTCCAAAAAAACAAACACTAAATAGCTACACTAACACTCAAGAGATCTAGCAGCACTTCCTAGCTAAAGATGGGGGAAGCCAAAAAGAAAAAAACTGCGAAAAAAAAGACAAAGTGGGCCAAAAAAGAGATAGGAGGAAAAAAACAAACTAAAACAAAATGGGGAAAAGAAAAAAACCAAATAGAACAAGAAACAAACAAACAAACAAAACAGCACACCGACACCAACCAACACAAGCGCAAGCAAAGAGGGGTCCAAGCACACAGGTCACCGAAATAGCTCCCTGGTAAAGCGGACAAAAACCTGGGCCGCGCAGCCGCTTATATAGGCATGTGGAATTCTGTCATCACAAGGCTCCTTATGAAGTCAGAGGAAGAAATGGACCAATGGCAGTCCGGCAGGGACTTGCACGAATTTTTATTTCATCACAGTTGGTCCTTATGAAGTCAGAGACAGGTGGGGACCAATCAGAGCCACAGCTAATCCTCAGGGGTTTCCTCAACCAGCTTTCTCTTAATATCATAGACCCCAAGAGCTGCTGGCGTAGATTGGTGATACAGACTGATGTTTATAATTTGAACTTTAAATACGTAGGATGCACCTATGGCCTTTTCCTTTCTCCTTAAGAAGTGATAACAATTGTGGGGTCTTTAAGACCTCTGATCATCTACACTCCAGAGACACATCCCATTGCCTTTAACCCTGAATGATAGGTCTCTGAATGTTGCTACAACTTCTCTGGCATCATGATATCCTTGACAAAGTGTCCCATTGCCCCTGACACCACCAGGCACATTACTATAATGGACACAGCTGAGAGAAGGGCATCTTTCATAATCCTTTCCCCCTAAGATCCTCACCAGATTTCTCGTTAGAACCCCTGGAGGACCAGAAGGTAGCTCTGGGTGGGTATAGTCCAGGTACGGAGGCCAACTAAGTGTCAGCATTCTCCAAATTGTCCTTAGAAAAGCAGGGAGAAACTGACGCATGTTTGATGTCTCAGGGTTCCCATGCTGCTCTCACAAAGTGTCTTGAACAGAGTCATGAATAAAGAACAGAACTTCATTCCTCAGTGTTTGTTCTGCAGGCTAGAAAGTGGAAGGTCACAGGGCTCCAGCAGACTCGTTGTCTGGAAAGCGCTCCCTCTCTGCTGCTGCTGCTGAGCCTTCTTCAGAGAGAGATGGTAAGATGGGAAGGCTGGTGGTTTGTTGTGGTTGGTTGAAGCCAAGTATATGTGTGGAGAGTGGCGTTGTAGTCCTTAAAAAAGTACCACACCTTAGTCCAAAACTCCCCAGTAAATTTTAAGGAAAGATCATGGCTTCCTGGGGTGTCCTCAGATGGTGAAAGCACAGACCTCACCCCGTCAAGCCCTTTAGACAGACAGGTAGCCTGTGGCTGACACTGCAGTCCAGCAGGTTAAACCCTGCTACACCAGCATCCCATGTGGGTGCTGGTTGGAGGCCTGGCTCCACTTCCAAACCAGCTCCCTACTATTGTGCCTGGAAAGCAACAGAAGGCGGCTCAAGTAATTGGGCCTCTGCCACCCATGTGGGAGACCTGGATGGAGTTCTAGACTCCTGGCTTTGGCCTGACCCAGAGGAGGCAATTGTGGCTATTTAGGTAGTAAACCAGCAGTTAGAAGCTCTCGCTATCTCTTTCTCTATTTCTCTCTCCCTGTCTCCCACCTTCACTCTCTGTAAATAAATAATTGTCTTTTTTTTAGAGAAGAAACTCAATCATCCTGCCAAAGAGAGTGGACCCCTAGTTCTGTTTTCCACAATTTAGAAAGGAAGTGTCATCGAAATGAAGTGAATGAAATATAATTATAACTTCCCTTTTAATAATTCAGCAGAATTTTCCTCTAATGATCCTTCAGATTAATTGGAAAGCAATTTAAGGAAAAAGACATAAAGGAAGCAAGAACATGTTTCACTGTTGACAGTGGAGACTTCCTGTTTATATCCTGGGTAGACCCTCCCCGTGTGGGGTTTGTGTGTGTCTGTTTGGCAGGTGCACTAGAGCCCTCTCTCTACCACAGGGAGTCTACAGTGCTGACCCAGGGCTAGCCAGCACTTTGTAGAATCTTGTCATCCTGCCTTTAGCGGTACTAGACTCTTCCCTTACCTTTGGGTGCTTTCTTACGCTTTGATAGTTTTGTTTCCCTTTTCCTGGTTGGATGTGTAGGATCCCTATGGTGGCGATGCTTATCCAGATGTGAATCCTGCTTCTTCCTAGTTCCTGGGTGTGAAAGATCATCTAGTGCCGGGTGTTTTCAAGGAGCTCAGGAGGAGCAACCCCAGACGAAGGTGGGAGTCACAGTGCAAACCCAATGAACCCTTCTCTCTTGAAACATTCTTCCCAGTCTTGTCATATGTCACAGACAGATGTGGTGTTTCATTAGGAGCTAAAAATGGGAGACGACTATAAATACAGTGCTTGGGAAGGGAGTTTGTTCTGACTATGTAAGCCTAGGAGAAGGAAGACTTTATCTCTGAGACAGGATTGCAGCACTGGATACCTCCTTGGGTGCAGAAGATGGTGTATTACAGTATAACTCAGCTAATATTTGCCTGCTTTCACAGCTATTCCAAGTCATTGAAAGGCTTTGATTGTTAAAATTGTCCTCACAACAACTTGCAAGAATATTCCAGAATCAGGCATGAGTAAGTACATTGACATTTGCTATACATTGAACCTGTAACAGAAAGACCTTGGTGTTTCTCACCAACAACAAGAATTGAATTTAAAAACACTTTTATTTATCAATGAGTGAAGACAGACAACATAAATTAGTAACAAAACTCACTAATGAACTAAGCAATGTACATAAATTTTTGGACAATGTAACAAGATCTTGGTAAGCCAATGATCCTATGCTGTCATAAAGACTGTCATTCATGACTTGATATTAGAGATAATTCAGCACTGTTTATCCTGTGTAATGTGGTTGATTTTTGTGTTTTATCATCATGCTGATTAAATATGAGAGTTTTATTGTTAATAGCACAATGTATTAATTTTGCTGTTAAAATTAAGCTATATGTGAAAGAACTCATAATTTCATTATGTCACAAGGATCTTTCTTCTTTGAAAGAACTGTACTCTTTTTTTTTTTTTTTTTTTGGCAGGCAGAGTTAGAGAGAGAGAGACAGAGAAAAAGGTCTTCCTTTCTGTTGGTTCACCCACCAAGTGGCCGCTGCGGCCAGCGCGCTGCACCAATCTGAAGCCAGGAGCCCGGTGCTTCCTCCTGGTCTCCCATGTGGGTGCAGGGCCCAAGGACCTGGGCCATCCTCCGCTGCCTTCCAGGGCCACAGCAGAGAGCTGGACTGATAGAGGAGCAACTGGGACAGAATCCAGTGCCCGGACCAGGACTAGAACCCAGGGTTCTGGCGCTGCAGGCAGAGGATTAGCCTAGTGAGCCGCGGCGCTGGCCCTTTTTTATTTTTCAAAGTAATTCATTATAACTTTGATTGGTAATTTATAATTTCATGAATGTTAAGTGTGATATAAACATTGTGAAAAATATTAAAACATCAAAATGTTCCAAAAAGACACATTTTTAAAAATTTTATTGCAGTATAGTATACACCAAGAAATGCACAGACATATACAGAAAAGTGAGGTTTTGGTCCTCTGATCACAAAACTACTTTTTAAAAAAGATTTGTCATATTTATTTGAAAGGCAGAGAGATGGGGAGAGACAGACAGAGGAAGAGAGATCGTCCATCTGCTGATTCACTCCCCAAATGGCTGTAATGGTCAGGGCTGGGTCAGGCCAATGCCAGGAGGCATGAACTCCATCTAAGTCTGCCACACGGGTGCAGGGGCCCAAGTACTATCTTCTGCTGCTTCCCTAGGCTCATCATCAGGGAATCTGGATCTGAAGCTGAGCAGCTGGGAGTCAAATCAGCACTCCCATATGAGCTGTTGGCATTTAAGCAGCAACTTAACCTGCTGTGCCACAGAGCTGGTCTCTGTCACTGTGACCTTAACACAACATGTTCTAGTTACTCACTTGTCAAGTTAGCAACACTGTCATTTGTCCTTAAAGCCTAGAATTAATTTGTAGAGCATAAACAGTGGGATAATTTTCAAGTTGCTGGCTGGTGTTTGTCTGCAGAGGAGAGCACCAGGCAGTGAACTCTTTTTGTTTTTGTTTTTGTTTTTGTTTTAAGATTTTATTTATTTATTTGACAGGCAGAGTTACGGATGGTGAGAGAGGCGGGGTGGGGAGGTCTTTCTTCCATTGGTTCACTCCCCAAGTAGCCGCAGCGGCTGGAGCTGTGCCGATCCGAAGCCAGGAGCCAGGCGCTTCCTCCTGGTCTCCCATGCGGGTACAGGGCCCAAAGACTTGCCATCCTCCACTGCCCTCCCAGGCCACAGCAGAGAGCTGGACTGGAAGAGGAGCAACCAGGTCTAGAACCAGCGCTCATGTGGGATGCCGGCGCCGCAGGCAGAGGATTAACCTAGTGCACCATGGTGCCAGCCCCCAGGCAGTGAACTCTTAAAAATAATTAAGAACAGGGGCCAGCGTTGTGGCGGAGCAGATAAAGCTCAGCCTGCAACTCTGGCACCACCTATGGGTGCTGGTTCATGTCTTGCCTGCTCTACTTCTAACCCAGCTCCTTGCTGATAGCCTGGGAAAAGGTCTGGAAGATGGCCCAAATGTGTGGGCCCCTGCAACCCACGAGGGAGACCCAGATGGAGTTCTCGGCTCCTGCTTCCACCTGGCCCAGTACTGGCTGTCGCTGCTGTCTGGGGAGTGGACTGGCAGATGGAAGATCTCATTGTCTCTCCCTCTGTCTCTATAATACTGACTTTTAAATACACAAATAAATAAATAATGAAGATTAAATAATGATTAAATAAAAAGATAAAGACATATAATAAGGATTAAACGAGAGAGATTTTGGACTCCTGGTATGAACACTAAGAGATACGGACTCATAGCTGTTTCACAATTTGAATATATTTTAACTTTATCATTTCACAGTAAGCAACATTGCAGTCCACTCTGTTTTGTTCTCTACTGAGGGAAGGTACCCAGGGGAACCTGTGTGCACTATTTTATAAGATATCCCAGACGACCTGCATCTTATTCTGTGGGTTTCAGTAGGGAGTGTCAGAGTCCCCAGGCCTGAGATGTGAGGGGTTAAACTCCCATGCAGTCCGCATCCTCTGTGTGCATCTGAGTGTCAGCAGGGGCACTTCCAGGACAAAATGCAAGGAAAGATCCCAGCAGGCAGCTGAGGTTGCCTTGCTTTCTTGCTGGTGTTTTCCCCCTTCTCATTCTAATGGTGGAGTGGTTACTGTGTGAAGTTGCAGGGGGATGAAATTTGGAGAGGAGAGTACAATACCTGGAGGGCAAGGACTTCCTATGTTTTATACCCAAACAAATAATTTTATGTTTCTGAGACAGCTGTATGTTCTTATGGGCTGCAGAAGGAGCAAAAAAATTTATAATTTTCTTCAGTACTGCAAAACAGAAATACTGCTTAAAAGGGGATTCTTAATTTGATTAAGAACACATAATACATATTTTATTATTAACTTGAGCTCAGTGCTTTTTAAAATATTCATTCATGCTATAGGGATGATTTTCTTGATGTGTTTGTTTTTAAAAGAGTTATTTTATTTATTTGAAACAGTTACAGAGGGAGGTAGAGAGACAGAGAGAGAGAGAGGGAGGGAGGTCTTCCATCCACAGCTTCACTCCCCAAATGGCCACAGCAGCCAGAGCTGAACTGATCCAAAGCCAGGAGCCAGGAACTTTTCCGGGTCTCCAGTGTAGGTGCAGGTGCCTGAAGCACTCTTGCCTGCTCTACTTCTAACCCAGCTCCTTGCTGATAGCCTGGGAAAAGGTCTGGAAGATGGCCCAAATGTGTGGGCCCCTGCAACCCACGAGGGAGACCCAGATGGGTCATCTTCTGCTTCTTTGCCAGGAACATTAGCAGGGAGCTAGATAGGAAGTGGAGCAGTCTGGCACTTGGACTGGTGCCTATATGGGATGCTGGCACTGCAGGCCAGGGTTTTAACCTGCTGAGCCACAGTACTGTCCCCTTCTGATGTGTTTTACATTTAGCTACCTGGTTTCTTAATGTTTACATGTACATTCTACTTGGTGTTCTGTTTTTTTTTTTTTTTTAAGATTTATTTGTTTGTTTGTTTACTTGAAGGAAAAGTGATAAAAGGAGAGAAAAAGAGTGAGACAGCTCTTCCATCTGCTGATTTCATTTCCCAAATGCCCACAAGAGCCAGGGCTGAACCAGGCCGAAGCCAGAACACGGTAACTCCACCTGGTGACCCAGAGGGATCCAGGGGCCCAAGTGATCTGCTGCCTCCCAGGAGCATTAGCAGGGAACTAGACTGGTGATGTCCAGGAGCCAGGAATCAAACCTGCACTCCATTGTGGGATTCGGGAGTCCCAGTAGCGGCCTACCCTACTGCACCACACCTCACTCTGTGCTCTTGCTACAACAGCCTTGCCTGCCTTTCCTCTTTTCATGGTTGTTTCCAATGGGGTTTTGGTACTTGAGCTTAAAACTATGGAAGATATTTCTTAGTAGTTAGATATGAGTGTAGATGTCTATATGTGTGGAAATATCTGTACCTGTGCACGTGTATTTTTGATGGTGCAATGAATATGAGCTATTCCAAGCTAAAATTTACTTTGTTGCTGTCTATAAGTGTATTTAATGTTTTCTGCAGGTTTTAGTGTGGCACATGCCTTCATGCTCCAAACTAGCTTTGGTGCTGTAGGTATTGGGCTAAGTTACCTTTTTTTTTAGTGACAGTTCAATGTAATTTCTGTTCTGTGGGTTACTAAATATGCTATTTATGAGATAACAATATATTATATGTTATATGTAAATAACTTTAGATATTTAAAACACATTACAAAGTTAGCCTCCACAGATAACTATTTTAGAAACTTGGCTCATTCAGTAGCCAAAGTAAGAATAAGGGTCTATGGGAGCTCATAAATGAATTATAAAATAATTTATTCAGGTCAAGCAATGATCACATCATCACAATTCAAAAATCTTTGTTTTTTGGAAGACCCCTATTCTTTTTTTATTTTAATTTTTTTTTTTTTTATTTTTGACAGGCAGAGTGAACAGCGAGGGAGAGAGACAGAGAAAAAGGTCTTCCTTTTGCCATTGGTTCACCCTAAAATGGCCACCGTGGCCAGTGCGCTGCAGCCCACGCATTGCGGTGATCCAAAGCCAGGAGCCAGGTGCTTCTCCTGGTCTCCCATGTGGGTGCAGGGCCCAAACACTTGGGCCATCCTCCACTGCACTCGCAGGCCATAGCAGAGAGCTGGGCTGGAAGAGGGGCAACTGGGAGAGAATCCCGCGCCCTGACCGGGACTAGAACCCATTGTGCCCGTGCCACAAGGCAGAGGATTAGCCTATTGAGCCACGGCGCCGGCCTGGAAGACCCCTATTCTTATAGCAGCATCACAGGGTGGTGAGCCTGTCTCCAGGACTTAGGACTCAGTAGATCAAGGTGGAGCCTGAGAATCTCACCTCTGGCTCAGTCCCACTGCAGTTAATTATTCATGCTACACCTCCTAATGAGCCAGGTCCTCTCACACTGCTGTGTCACAGAGCCTTTTCATCTACAGTTACTTTGTGTTATTCTGTATTCTCCTTTGATACCTTAGTGGCCCTTACTTCTGTTCATAGTCTGTGTCCTGCAGCAAAATATTCCCACTTTTTTTTTTTTAACAGATTGAGATGTTTATTGGGAATAGATTGAATCTAAGATGAAATTGGGAAGACATCTTGATAGTAATGAATTTTCTTATCCACGCATTGGGGAATATCTCTCTATTAGTTCTTACTTTTTGTCAGTTTTATAGTTTGCCTCATAGAGATCTTGTACTTATTTTGTGAGATTTGTGTTTAAGTATATCATTTTGTACGCTCATACAAAAATCTCAAATTCCAATTATTTTCCCTCAGCAACCTTTAATTTAATAAATACAAACTTCATGCTTTTCATAAATACAACTTTAGGAACATAGTGATTCTTCCACTGTACCCACCCTCCCATCTGCTCTCTTCACCCTTTTTCCTCTTCTTTCTCTTTTATCTTACTACAATCTATTTTCAATTAACTTTATACACAGAAGATTAACTCTATACTAAGTAGAGTTCAACAAATTTTATGAAAAAAAAAAACTGTTCCTCAGCAGTTTTTTGATTTCTTTGTTGATGTCTTCTATGACCCACTGTTCATTCAGGAGCATGTTGTTCAGTCTCCATGTGTTTGTGTATGTTCTATAGATTCTTGAGTTGTTTATTTCCAGCTTCATCCCATTGTGGTCAGAGAAGATGCATGATACGATTTTTTTGAATTTGCTGAGACTTGCTTTATGGCCTAGCGTGTGGTCTATCCTGGAGAAAGTTCCATATTCTGGTAAGAAGAATGTGCATTCTGAAGCTGTAGGATGAACAGTTCTGTAGATACCCATTAGGTCCATTCGGTCTATAGTGTTGATTAAATGTTGTTTCCTTGCTGATATTCTGTGTAGTTGATCTGCCCATTACTGAAAGTAGCGAATTGACATCCCCCGTTACTACTATTTGCGAGTCTGTGTCTCCCTTCAGATCCATTATCATTTCTTTTGAATAGCCATGTGCCCTGTAATTAGGTGTGTATACATTTGTTATATTCACATCTTACTGTTGAATTGATCCCTTAATTATTGCATAGGGCCCATATTTGTCTCTTTTAACAGTTGATGTGTTAAAGACTATTTTGTCTGATATTATGATGGATACACCAGCTCTCTTTTGGTTTCTGTTAGCATGGAATATCCTTTTCCATCCTCTCATTTTCAGTCTGTGTGTATCTTTGTTGGTGAGATACGTTTCTTATAGGCAGCACATAGATTTTTTTAAAAGATTTATTTTATTTATTAGAAAGAGCTACAGAGAGAGGTAGAGAGAGAGAGGGGGGTCTTCATCTGCTGATTCACTCCCCCGATGGATGCAACAGCTGGAGCTCTGCCGATCTGAAGCCAACAGCCAGGAGCCTCCTCCAGGTCTCCCACATGGGTGCTAGGGCCCAAGGACTTGGGCCATCTTCTACTGGTATCCCAGGCCACAGCAGAGAGCTGGATCAGAAGAGGAGCAGCAGGGACTAGAACCGGCGCCCATATGGGATGCTGGTGCTTCAGGTCAGGGCGTCTTAATGCATTCAGCCAGTCTGTGTCTTTAAAAAAAATTATTTGTTTATTTATTTGAAAGGTAAAGCTCCTTATGAAGTCAGAGGGAGAAATGGACCAATGGCAGTGCAGCAGGGACTTGCACGAATTTCTATTTCATGACAGTTGGTCTTCATGAAGTCAGAGCCAGGCGGGGACCAATCAAAGTTGAGTGGCAGCCAAGAACTCCAAGAGCTTTTGGTTAGGTTGGTGATACAGATTGACGTTCATTTTTTGAGACATTAAAACATGTAGGATGCCCCAATGGCCTTTTCATTTCTCTTTAAAGTGTGATAGAAACTGTTGGGTCTTTAAGACCTCCAATTGTTTACACTCAAGATACACATCCCATTTCCTTGATCCTCAGAATGATAGGTCACAGAATGATGTTACAACCTCTCTGTCATCTTCATAACCCTGGCAAAGTGTTCTGCTGTCCATGGCACCACCAGGCACATTATTCACATGGGCAGAGCTGAGAGGAAGGGATCTCTCATCATCCTCTCTCCCTAAGATCCTCAGCAGATTTCTTGTTAGAACCCCTGGAGGACCAGAAGGTAGCTGGGTTGCTATAGTCCATGTATGGAAGGCCAACCAGCTGAGTGAGCTGCCTCCTCCAGCTTGTCCTTAGAATAGCAGGGAGAAATGGAGGCATTTCCAGATGTCTCCGGGTTCCTGGGCTACTCTCACAAAGTGTCTTGAACGGAGTCATGAATAAAGAACAGAAATTCATTCCTCAGTGTTTTTTCTGGAGGCTGGAAGATGAAGGTCAGGGCTCCAGCAGACTCGTTGTCTGGAAAGAGCTCCCTCTCTGCTGCTGCTGTGCCCTCTTCAGAGAGAGATGGTAAGATGGAAAGGCTGGTGGTTTACTATGGTTGGTTGAAGCCGAGTACATGTGTGGAAAAGTTGCAAAGCCCAAAAGAAATAAGATCTCTGGGAAGGCTAGTTGTCTGGTATGATCAATTTATGCTGAGTGTATGTGTTGAAATAGTGAACTGTAACCATAAAACAAGTAGTACATGCTAATCCCATATCTAAAATACTCTTTAATTTCTTTCATTGATGATTCATAGTTTTAATTGTAGAGATCTTTTACTTCTTTGGTCACATGTATTCCCAGCTGTTTTCTTTTTCCTTAGTGTATCTAGTGAACATGGGATTGCTTTCTACTGGTCATTCTATGTTGACCTTGCACCCTGATACTTTGCAGAATGTATTTGTTCTCTCAGGTTTTTGGTGGAGTCTTTGTGGGTTTTCTATATGTGAGATCATTCATTAGCCAAAAGTAACAATTTGGCCTCTCTCTTCAATTCAGATGCCCTTGACTTTTTTTCTCTTGCTTAATTTCTCTACCTAGTTTTTCCAGTACAATGTAGAACAAAACTTGAATGATATTAGAAAAGAATCTGAATAACCTTATTATCTTTTAGCATCAATGTTGGTTGCATTTCAAAGTGTATTTCTTCAGTTTTTAGATTGAGTTTTCCAATATAGGAATCAAATTATTAAACTTGACTTAATGATTTTATGTATACTAAACATAGTAGAATAAGCATGATTTATAGGTCTATTATCTCTGCGATCAGCAGATGGAAGATTTCTCTCAGTCTCACTTTCTCTTTCTGGAGCTCTGAGTTTAAATAAATAATCTCTTTTTTTTAAGACAGAAATACAGAATGTATCTTCCATTCTATTTTAGTTAATAATTTCTATTTCAGGATTGACTTAGTTTGACTAAAGGTGACATTTTCTTTTCTGACACATGGTGAATGATGTTGTCAGATTCTGTAACTGTCAAAAACAATGATGTCAAGAAAATGGCAGTTGTGGGCATTTGTAATAAACAGTTTCTCCTATGAACTATAGATTATTTTGAAAGTGCAGAATTGGTGAGAGCCATCTTCATTGAGTCTACAGATTGAAATGCTGTCCCTTCCAGAAACAATGCTTTCCCATGTATCTGGGAATCAACAGGAGTTAAATTGACCCTTAAAAATTTACTGGCACAAGTATACCCATTTTAGTGTGTCATCTGTATCCCCTCTTGATTAAACCAAATATATCTCCAATAA